AAGTTTCAAATGCGTTGGTGTTACAATACTCAAGCCACATGTCTTGGCAGACACGATATCTTTTTGGCACTTTATTTTGTTTTTATATAGTTTAACTGAAATCAATAATCTGATATTTAGGAATGGGGAGAATAATAAAGTGGGAAAACACTTCAGAGTAATTAATTGAAAACGTTTTTATATTAGTTTGTACCAGTGGTTTTCAACTCCGGTTTCCGCAAGTTTAAATTCATTTCCAGAAGTCTATATTATTACCGTGTTTGCCCAAAAATAAGACCTACCTCGGAAATAAGACTTATCCCGGAAATAAGACCTACCCCGGAAATAAGACCTACCCCGGAAGTAAGACCTACCCCGGAAATAAGACCTACCCCGGAAATAAGACCTACCCCGGAAATAAGACTTACCCCGGAAATAAGACCTACCCCGGAAATAAGACCTACCCCGGAAATAAGACCTACCCGGAAATAAGACCTACCCCGGAAATAAGACCTACCACGGAAATAAGACCTACCCCGGAAATAAGACCTACCCCGGAAATAAGACCTACCCCGGAAATAAGACAGACCCCGGAAATAAGACTTACCCCGGAAATAAGACCTACCCCGGAAATAAGACTTAGCCTGAATTTCAAAAATTTATTCAATATAAGCCCTACCCTTAAAATAAGACCTAGTCAATAACCGAATTTTTTTTATTTAGTCGATAGCAGGAAATCTATCCTACGCGTTTTAAATGATTGATAATATATGTTTTGCAGTTATTTTGAACAAAAACGTGTTATTTATAAGTTAAAGTTATATCTGTATCCATATTTTGTATATATATTTAAAAATCTCGTAATTCTCTACTTCGTAATTTTGTTTTTGATGCATAAAAATATAAGACATCCCCCGAAAATAAGCCCTAGTCTTATTTTTCTTAAAAAAAAATTCAAATAAGACTCAGTCTCATTTTCGGGAAAACACAGTATATATATATATTGTTTGAATATAATCAAATACACCGGTTTAATATAATCATACAATGGGTGTGTGTCTCTGGTATTCTCTGACCTTCTGGTGGTTTGTTCCAAATCGTCGGTTCACAGTATTTTTGATTGGCATGTTTTATGATAACAAATATAATCATATAAGAAAATCAAGAGGCATAGTGGTTACTCGAGTCTCAAGAGTGTTTACTAGGGTTCCACTCCACCAAAATGGTTGAAAACATAGGTTTGTACACACACTTCAAACATAATTTTATGTTAAAATCCAACTAATAAAAAGAGGAAAAGCTCTTGCTGGTGTGATTATAAACGCCCAGCTGGATTCACCGCCAAAAGCGGTATAGGTAGAATTTCCTATGGCAGATAAAATGGACCACACTTCCGTCGATGCACTCTGAGTATGAAGGCATTGGGCTGAATTCCAGGTGTATCGAACTGATCCGCAAAAAAAAACGATTTATATGCTACGACGATAAAAGACACAGTTGTGAAAATTTAAAACCATCAATACAACAGCATTTGTGTTACCTTATTCAGTGATTGAGTATATTTATTATTTTTTCATTTATTTTTTTGCGTTTTCAATTTACGCTCTTTTTAGTTTGTTCGGTCATAGTTGATCAAACTGCTTTTGCAATAACTTCCCTTTTTTTAAATATTCTCTATAAAATGAAGTAGTATTGGTATCCGAACCAGGGTTTCGAACTCGTGGGTGAGCTTGTGAATTCAGTTTTGATTAATGTGAGTTCCAGAGCATATATTTTTACTCAATATGTACCATTCAGTCTCTTTTTCACTATGATAGATGAAATGTAGATAAATAGATAACAATGAAATACAGCAAGTCAATATTTTCTTCAGTTAAGATGAATTAATAAATGACTGAAATTACGCTTGCCCATTTATGAATAAATTATTGTTCTATAACTCCACCTAACGGTAGCTATCTCACCATATTTTTAGGGGTCGAGTCGACATGTGACAAGAGTACCCACGAACGCTATTCAGATCAAATCTTTGATGTCGTTTCCTCATAATGACAGAAAACATTAAAAAAAATGTATATAGAAAGCACCATATCACCTCTATACATATAATGAGCTAGCAGTGGTTCTCAACCTTTTTTCTTTCGTGGCCCGCTTTCTCATGCAAGGGAAAAACCACAAAAAAAAAAAAATTCCTTTCGTCCAGATAGGTTCCGCTTTAATAATTCAAATGACATTAAAACAGCAGTATGATTAAATCAAATTTTGCGAATTTGTCAATAAGTCTAGCACTTTTTAATAGATTTGTGACTAGGGCTGGGAATTTCGAATCGAATATTCGAATCGTATCGAATAGTAAATTATTCGAATCGGTTCAGAGCAAAATTCGGAATCGCCGCCATCTTGTTTTTTTTTTCTTTCCGCCAATGATCGATGTAAATTTCTCAATTTTTTTATTGAAACCATATTTTATCAACGCAATTCCGACTTATGACTCTTTTCTGTATTGAGTTATTGATGAAAACGTGTTTTTTATTATGTGTGAACGCTCAGCAATCTGCCTAGTAGGTGATGCATTCTATGTTTTCTGTAATTTTATCTGAGTCTGAAGGACCTAATACGATAAGAAATCTACATACAATTTTATAACTCCCAAGTATTCGAGATTCGATTCGATTCGAAAAAATTATTCGATTCGATTCTGAAATCATCAGGTATTTGAATATGCCCAGCCCTGTTTGTGACCAACCTCAAAATGTTTCTGTGGCCCAGCAGTGGGCCATGGTTTATAGTTAAGAAGGCCATATATAAACATTACATACGGCTCAAAAAGAACAAAAAACAAAAATGTAATTTATTTCAATAGCTAAACTGTTCACTGTGTCCAATAAAACAACATTTATATTAACGAGTGAAAGGTTTTAATCCGGTCAAAAGAAAAAAATTTACTCATTCGAATACACATTTTAAAATTTTTTTAATCTAGAATAAATTCCAAATTGGGTCATGGCATGGGCAAAAAATAACCTAATGATACAAAAAATATCACGCACATCTAGGCCCCTGAGCGCTCGGTGAATAAAACACTGTCAAATTTTGCCTAGTGTAGCATGGCCCATTTAACCCCCGTCTACTGTTCCCCACAATCGCCAACATTTTTAAACTGCTCCATGTCAAGTTTATAAAGTCACATCCACTCGCCAACGTTAGACTAAAACAAAAAATGACAGAGAGTGGTCGTCATATTGGAGAGGCTAAAAGGAGAAGAAAAAAAATGGGATGGGGAAATTTTAGTTTGAACCCTACAAAACCAATTTCATTCATAGCTTGCGTCACTTTTCACGACCGCTGCTGGTTTGCTGGGACGTCGTAACTCACCGAGGACGAAGCGTTTGTATTATAAGGGGTGTGAATATTAGAGTGTCCCTATTCGCGTCTCTAGGTATTTGCTTTGAATAAAAATAGCCAGGCTTTCTCATATCTGTTTCTAGTTATGCAATCTAATGCAATAACAAATACCCGAAAAAATCCAATGGTGCTTCGTTTTTCCTAGCGGAATACCACAATACAATGTTGCTATGTCTAATGTAATTGCGCCACCACGCGGCAGTGACAATAATATATGCCAATCTGATATATTTTCGACAGAGCCTTCGCTTATCGCCCAACTGCGCTCTTACCGGTACTGGTGTAAATTGCCGCGGCGGTTAGACTTAATTTGCAACTTCTATTTGAAGATTTTGAATATTTAGACAATGAATTTCAATGTTGGTCTCATAGGCCACCAAACTAGATTCGACATTACACGGTATACCACTCTTATTGTTTTTTGAGACCTGTCTCTCTTTCTAAGAACTTCCAGATACATTTTCCAAGAACGTAGAAAATTGAATTTTTTTGTCCTTTGTATACTTTTCGGCACAATCACGTTCACTCATTCTATTTGCGGTATGTGGCTTATTAAAGTGCCGGTATGCTCCTATGTAATTATTAGCTATTTATGTGTAGTTGATAAACCTGACATTAAGTAATTGTTATATTATGCAAAACAACAAGGCGGAATGCTCTCAACCAATTAAAAGCAATATATACTAGTCAAACACGATAATAAATATGTCTATATGCCAATAACACGATAGCGGCTCGATTATTTATTTTTATGGAAAATGGTTGAGATGCTGGTTCACCGCCGATAAGCTAATGGATTACGTGGGCAGACGGAGTTATTGTTAAATTCATTTTCTCACACGTATGCAATATTAAGATTTGCAAAACGTCTGATTTTTGTGACTTTTAAGAAGTAGCCTCAAAATATAACTTTGTTTCATCGATGATCATATTTGATTATGGTAATCGAGCAAGAATTTAAATCTTTTTTTATCCATCGCGAATATCCAGATGAACGCTGTTAGATACATAGTGAGGTAGTTTCATATTTGAAGAGGTGTTTGACCCCTTTTCTGGACTACTTTAAATAAGGTTGAGAAATAACAAGAACAAATCTGAATAAACTCAAACTATAGTAATTTTAACAGTGAATTATTTGTACCCGACAAAATGGCCATTTTTGTTTTTGTTCAACAATTATAGGACTAAATAAAAAAAATATTTGTTTTACATACCAGAGTGTTATTTTGCAACCTCAAGCAATTCTAATTAATTACACAGTAAAACTCTAGTTTAATGTATCAACTTCGCTGCTGCAAATCTATATAGAAATTTGTCTGCTGCAAAAATTGATTCGAGAAATGCAGCTTATTTCGTTTTACTTAATTGCATTATGGGTCCTTATAAGGTATGCTAATGGTCCGGCTGTTGGAAAATACCAGTCTACTAATTGAACTGCAAAATTTCCACTTTGTAATTTGCAAAATACTGTTTAATTAACTAGACGTTAAACACTCAATTTTGTACTTGACTTTTGTCTGCATTCGATGATTTGAAGCGAACAAAAATCTTTGACGTTAAAACTATTATCCACCAAAATTGGAATGTGGAAAAATAAATTGAACCTACAAAAATGCTCTTTACAAGAATAATCAAAAAGCACATTATATTATTTTAAAAAAATAATAACATTTACTAATTAAAGTAATTACTAACCCTAATTAAAACCATCAGGAAAAGACAACTACAATTTTTTGGGCACATAAACAGAGCAAATGGGATAGAAAAGCAAATACTGTGTGGAAAGATTTGTGGTACCAAAAGTAGGGGAAGACAACGCACAAAACACACCGACAGTCTGAATAATTACGTAACAAAGAAAGAATCCTCCAACAATGAACTCATCAGGAGAACTAACAACAGATTGGAATGGAAGGCCATGATCGCCGATGTCTGTAACAGACCTGGTACATGAGGAAAAATACCCTTTACACAACAAAGCTCACGCGACTCTCGCAAAACGACATATGTAATGGCATCGTTGATGGTGTAAAAAAAATTATCAAAATAATCGGGAAACAACTTTGGTGAAAGTGCAACGCCGTTTTTAACAGAAATAAACAATCCCTAAAAATATTATTTATTGTCTTGATATATTTTGGGGTGAAGATATATCAAATTTTTCATGTAATACCGCATGAAAGATCCATCTCATACCATAATAATCAAGTTGACCGACCATTGATCTAGTACGCTCGGGCAAGTGATTCAAATCAGTTCAATACATATTGAAATATCTATAGTTCATCATTTAGAATAGATTTACGGAGGTGAAACGCCTATCGCAATCTCTTCAACCACGTTACCATTCAATTATGTCTCATCAGCAGAATCTATGAAAACAAGAGATGTAATCATTGTTTGGAAGCTGAGTTCACTCTTATTTTGTTATTGAGTAATTAGACCTGCTTGGTGGCGAAATATTAATTTGATAATTTCGGTTTTAAAGTGAAATATGTTCAGCTTTAAAACTATTAATACACCACAAGAATTTACTTCAGCGCGTAACCGCAAAAACTATTATATTATTAAATTACTGGGTTCAATAATAATGAAAATATATCACAGTCAATCATGAAAACTTTCATATTGTAAAGATTTTGAAAGTAAAAATTGTTAAGATTAATTGCTAAAATAATCCCTGTGAACTGATTTGTTGTCATGTATAACCAGGCATCGATATGAACCCAAAAATAAGGACGTCGGGGAACATAATAATAAAATAAAAAAGAACGAAATGTAATAAACAAAATGTGTTCATGCCAGTGGGACCCATGTCTTATCATACTTTGCACTAGAAAGGATTTGCTCCTGCAGGTTTTTTATTCTTAGAAACTATCGGTTCCATCTCACTTGTAAGTTTTATTTTGATTCAAGTAACACGAACTGCTGATCTTTGCCGGTAGGCTATTGATTCGATATTGTGGCAATTAATTTGCTGTTATTACGTCATGAATGCGCGTAGCAATCAATGAGAATCTAATATCATTTCTAGCAAATCAACCATTCGAATTGACCAATCTAGGTGCAGGTAGAACTTCTACCCATAAAAAAAAATTAGGACACGTGTCAAAATAAGGGCGTCTCTTAGAAAGAGGGACGTTATAGCAGCCATGTGTATACTGAAACTCGAAGTATATAGTAATATAAAATATTGTTACTTGATGGTGTGAAATAGTACACATGGAATAGTGACATTTTAAACCGACTTGAATTAAAGCTCAGATGCTATGAAAAAATAATTGATAAGATCAAAATTGTCTGTTTGACATTTGTGGACAGACAGGAATTTAGTTTTGTGGTAGTACTCAACGAGTCAACAGTACGAATCAATTAATTCCAAACGAAACTAAGCTAAACCAATAAAACGATAAAAAGTTTATTCATGGAGTTTCGCATTCCCGAGACAAAGATATGCTAAATGAAACATTAAAATCACCTAAAAAAAATTCTTGCACCTTAATCCATTGTTGAACAAAAATTCTATTAAACGTGATAGCTTGAGAGAAGAATTTTTAATGAGAATAAGAAATCTTATTTGTGAAACACGACACAAGTATTAATTATTATAGTCTAAATTTTATTTGACGTGTTATCACAAATGCCATCATTTTGAGAAATTCTTGAGTTCAATATAACTCGGAAAACGAATCAGAGTTGAACAACTTTTACATTATTTAAGATATTGAAAGTGAAAATTATTGAGATGAATTCTTGTGCAATGATTCAATATGTAGTTTTGACCGTTTTAAATATATAAGTATATGAAACTTTTCGCAAAACACAATTTTGCGATGAACTTTAGGACAAATATCACTGAAATATATTCGTCAACAAAATTTGTAAGACCACATACTATTCTTAGAATAGTAATAATTTTGCCTCAACAACCTACGCCATGTCTGACATCATATATTCAAAAATAAGTTCAACAAAAGTTGTCAATTATTTTAACGGAGCGCCCAAAAAATATCAGTTCCATTCAACAATACTATTAACGTGTTGGCCAAAGGTGTAAGATGACTGAAAAGTATTATGTTTCGATATTCTCTCGGAGCTCCCGAAGTATGTGAACCAAGAAGGCCGACACCGGAATGTAGCATGTGTACCAGGTTTGGGTTAGGCCATAATTTCGGGTACAAATATTACGGGAGTCACTTGGCTAGTCCCCGAACTCGTAATAGAACTAAAATAAGGAAAATCGGAATTAAATTATGGCCTAACCCTAACTTGGTACACATACTACGTTCCAGTGTCCGATCTCGGTTCATATACTTCGGGAGTTCCATTTTCTCAATTTAATTAAGAATATGTCTTTTGTTTTCAATTCTTAAAATTTTAATAAAAAGTGCATTGTCTTTTATCGAATAAATGAGTATCAAAAAGAAAAAACCAAAAACAAAATTAGGTACATTGTTTTGAAGTGTCTTGTTTAATTGTAATCTATCATAAAGGTAATGTTAATTCTGTTTATATATAATCCAAAATCTCATTATCCTGCTGTTCAACGGGCGGGTCCAACATTTTTAATCTTTTTTGACGAATTAATTGTACACGATTCGAAACTTACGTATCTTTATCGACAATTACGTCTATACATGAAACCACTATTGGGAGAGATGGTATGGTGACTAACGTCAACGCCCTAAAGGTCAGGATAAAATGTTAAGCTAAGTTACTGACTTAATCAATTCTCGCAGCAGATATTGCAATTGAATAGACAATCCTGTGTGAACATTTCAAGTCAGTTGCTACCGCGAGAGGATTGATTCCACTAAAAGCTATTCATTGGCCGCAGTACCCTTGACCTAACCTTTGAACTTTATGGATTCTAATTCATTTTGTCGCACAGTTTTCATCAAAATTTTCTACTCAAAGATGAATAATAGCCGGCCGTTATATAAAGCACACTCATTACCCAATTTTTACTTTGGTATTGTGTCGTCTATAAAATATTCGAGAAGCGCATCACTTTATGCCAACAAAAATATTTGGCAATATTGCTATATTACATTGGGTATTTGCGTGTTGTGAGCATATGAACATATTCTTAGTCGTCACCTAATTTTTAAATCACACGGCTCTGAAATCTTTAAAATATCCAACGGTAAATGTAAATAAAAATTTTATAAACGGTACCTGCATTAACACATCCGGTTGTTAACATTTGGCTGCGGTTGCAACCAGTACAAGCTGTTTGTGTATTTTGCTTCCATTATTTTGATATAAAATTTGTCGCTTTGATCCTCTCAACAATCGCTTCCCAGGCGACAAATGATCTTCTTGCAATTAAAATCCTTTTTAACTGTAAAATACAAGTAATTATAAGGTAAATCCAATGCAATGAAAAACAAAATTCAAATAAAATAAAAATATCCAAAAAGTCATAGTGTTATAAAATACGTACAAATTCCCAAATATTTACAATAATTTGTTTTGAAGATTCAGAGAATTATTTTGTACGACATTAACACTCGAAACCATAATAATGTGCAGCTTTCTTCTCTTCGGTTTCGGATGGCAGAGACTGGTAAAAGACCTTTTTAATCCTATAACTACGAAACTAAGCAATTTTTGCCTAATAATGTTTTGACGAAACAAATCGAACTTAAAGGTTATAATTGTGATTGAAACCTACTTCTCATAAGAAAATGCGATGATCATTTTGTAAAAACAATTTAGAAGTGTTTCCTAACAAGAATTTGGCATCAACAAATTGATTATAATTTTAAATTAGTTCTTCAAAATGTAATCATATTTAATTAACGAATACAATAAATTATGTTGAAGAAATTAGTTTAATCTGAATGAATTGTTATATTATAGTGAAAACGTTGGAAGACAAAAATCAGTTGAAATTGTATTAGAATTTGATCGAGAATTAAAAAGGTAGGTGTCTTGTTTGAAATTAAGTAATGAAAACGCTGCGGACAATTTTAAGGTACAAAACCCAATAAGTTTTTAATTCGGAACATTTTACGTCTTATATTTCCTCATCAATAAACGAAATTCATTACTTTCTTTCTGATAAGATATATTTAACAATAAAGATTTGTAATATGATAACATTCATTCAAGACGCATTTCATTCATTTATTCGTGTTAAAATTAATTTTCATATAACTATCATGTAATACTTTGAAATTGGATTCACTTTTCCGCAATTGTTTACATTATATGAAGACAGATACTTTAATTTTGAACCGGCTTATCGGCTTATACTAGCGAAAAAGAAATTAATCTGAATTAATTTTCATTCCACGTCAGTCATCTTGTTGTAATCTTTGCATAGACTCTTCTTGTATTTTGTAAATGGGCTAAGATATCGCCCGAAACAAGGTTGCTAATTAGTATGAAAATTTATTTTTTTTCACAGTGAAATCAAACCATTATTTATCAGCGTTTTTTTTTTAGATTGCAACCGATGGTAAAATATCACCATTCAACTGAAAAAAATTTGAAGTTTTGTAAATTTAATTTGCAAATACCAGTTACATTGCCATATTTTCAAAGGTTTTATGAATCTAGGACACTTTTGCTTGGAAAATTATAGATATTTTTACGATCTAATGACTCGACAATTGCTATGATCTTTCCTTTGGCATATTTTAGAATAAGATTCATATAAGTTTTAATTAAAACAAATCATTTAAAATTACATAATCTAATATAAACAAGTGCATAATTCTATGTTCTGTTTGACTCCTTCAACTTTGGTTTCAACAAAAAAAATTCAAAATCTTTGACTCGGCCCCAGGCAAACATTTAAACACAGACCGGCGCCGCTTTGAACGAAAAAGTTTTCATCGCTAATACAATTTCTTTTCACTTTTAAAACAACAAAAATTCGAGTATTAAGGTTACCTATAGAAATTCAATTTACAGAGTATGTAATAAAATGTAAGAAATAATGAGTCAAATTTATTTTTTATCCTATGTAAGATATTTTGTGGAATAGAAAAATTAACCCAAATTACTTTTTAAATAGCATCACTTTCCTGCTGAATATTATACAAATAGATTTGAAGACAAAAAAGTTATGCTCTGCTCGATGGACTAATATTACAGCCTAAATACTTTCAAATCACAATCAAAATTTTTTTGATATGCAAAAATGATTCTTTTTAATTTAAAAAAATTCAAGACAATTTTCAAAGATTTGAAAAAAAATTGATGGCAAAAATTAGAAAATTTAGATATCATTCGTCACATGGCTATATTTTGTCTAAACTCCAATGCAAATTGACATTACTTGTGAATTCCATCGCCCCCCATTTTTAAAGTTGAAGTTTTTATAATTTGCTTGAAATAACTGCAAAAACCTAGTGTAAATCTATGTATTTTGTTACAGTGCACGTAAACAAATTGAATTATTGTGGTAACAGCACACGCATTTATAAACAGAAGTCATTATAAAAATCAATCTATCGATCCAATTCAGGTTTGGTAACCCAAACTGAACTTAACTTGGGGGCATTAACGTCGTCAGATTGCACGTTTGTCGCGTCACATTAAATAAACGCAATTAAAAATCAAACGTTAGGTTGTTGATAGATTAGAATATGTACAAATTTGAAACGGGTTTTAACATAAAAAATTGATGTATTAATTTGAGCATTGATATAACTCTAAATTTCTATGACCTCTGAGATAAGTTAAGATTTGGTGGTTTACAATTTACTTACGGCGGTAACAAATCACGGATAAATCTTCTTCATTCCTCTTTGAAATAAAAATGTAATCGTTTCAATCAGATAAAATTCGATAATTAGTGGATTTTGTCCGTGTGTAACCACGCATATTTAAAAAAAATTGCCATCAGCGCTGAATTTATGCGATGAATAATGCACATTAATAGCGTAGTACGAGTTAATAAGTTGGGGTATTTAATGCAATGATAAATATTCCCGGATATGCTTAGAGTCTTAGACGATAATGTTGCAATCCTCAAATTGAAGAGTAATTACAGTATCATATTAATTTAAAATTTATATTATCATAATTATATTTAAAAAATTATAATTCAATTTTCTTAATGAGTCATTTTTAAAATTGTGCAAATAAATACCGAAAACAAAACTATTATAGGGCAATTTTCTGGCTAATTATAGCAGATTGGTCAAACCGAAATTCGGATCGTTTTTTTAATAATACAAAAAAGAAAAACGAGATGTACGATCGGTAAATTAAAAAAAATAAAATATGACGTGTCATTAGTACCTTTTTCACACAGCCCGCCTTTTTCTGCTGAAACTCCCTATATAAGCTCTGCACATAAGAAGAAAATCATCTGTCTCGAAGGAGAGAAACAGTTGGAGAACAGAGAAATCTTGAAATAAAGATGAATTCGTTACTAGTTTGCTTCTCGGCGACCATTGCAGTGATATCTGCTACAGGCAAGTTTCTTTTAAATAATTATTTTTTTGGTTTTATCCGGCCTTTCCCAAAAAATCAAAATACCATAATCGATTTACGTGCAAATATTTTATGTACGTTTTCATCTGCCATGATGAAAAAAAAATCATTCAAAAAATTCATTTGAGAAGATTGATTAAGTTGAAAGCTAAATATCTTTACTTTATGCTTATGTAATGCAATATAAAATTTTAAATTAATATACGTTCTCGTGTATAGGACTTTTCGAATCGAGAATGAAATAGTTCCGAATTAGCAAGTCTAAAAACAATTAAACGAGTTATGTCATTTATTTTTCAGGATTACAATGTCAACCACCTCTTTTGGGCAAATATCAAGTTCTGGACCCTGAACTTCCATTCTATGTGACCTATTACAAAGGGCACGACATCATCACCATCACGTGTTCAAAGTTATATTTGTACGATTCAGTCGATGGATCATTTGTGCGCGGAAACAAGTTGACTGCCAAGTGCGCCGGTAGAGATAAATTCAAACCAGAAATTCCAGCAGGAAAATATGTCTGCAGTGAGTTTTTTTTTACCGTTATCCTTGTTGTATTTTTCTTGATTACTTTGTCCTTGCAACAATGTTTTAATCGTGTTAGAAAGTAATTTCCAGAGAAATTCTATATACCGCTTATAATGTAATACCCAATTATTTGTTGTTGCAGAGGAACGCGAGGCTAGCTGTCAACTGAAATTAAGTTCCAAACTTGGTTGCTGATCCAGACCGAAAAATTTACAAGAGGCGAGTCCGTAACCTTCACATGCGATTGGTGCTAACTACTTATCCGGCGTACGTAGAGTGAAATGCGGCAGAGATGGAGCGTGGAGTGATCCGTATTCCATTTTGTCTACGTGAGTTAACGCTTTAAAGTTTTTACATTGCTTCTTGCGTACAAATTGTGGTTTGCAGTGACATTAGCTACAATCAATATAATTGAGTTGTAGTGTGAATCAAATCATAAACCAATACAAGCATATAGCTAAATATCTAGTTGGCATTTATTTATTTAATGGCGAGTACTTAGCAAATTAATTTGTAACTTACTTACCTTATTATAAATTTGTCTTTTCACAGCTCTCTGTAAAAAACCAAAACAGCCGTATCTAATTGTAACCGATGACGATGATTCATACAGCGGTGGAAGCATCAACCTTTCTTGTGAACCCAAATACAGATTGATGGGCGAATACAAACGTTACTGTGAGGCAAACGGAAAATTTGACCCCCCGATTGAGGATAATCTCTGCATGAGTGCGTAAATGGTTCAACTAATACATACATGTCTTTGATTGCGTGCTTTATTTACTCAAATTACCTCAAAACAAAGTCTCAAACTTATCAAAAACAAACTCATCAAAAACTTTGAAAGAGACTATTGACTTTGCAATCGACAAAATCTGACAATTAAGAATACATTTATTATTGTTACGCTTTATTCTAAAGTACTGCTTTCCAAAACGATAAAATTTGCTTTCTCCTCGCATATAACGCGATTGTGCATCGACTGTAAAGAGTAAGAATCGCCGTTGGTAGGGAGTTGTATATGATAAAAATCGTTTAATGAGATATAAATATGAATGAGACATCGCAGATGGGTTGAAACCTATTTTATTAATCATGTTATATCTTATTAGTTATCATCAATTAACAGCGTTTCTGAATATTCTAATTGTTTTCAATGTCAGTTCGAACTGTTTCATATTTATCGCTTTTCCCATCAGGAACGGGCTGCAAACCTCCTCCAAAATTCAAGAATGGAAAGTACACTCCAGGACCAGGATATGATAACTGGTATGAAGAGTCGATGAAATCAAATACGAATGTGATGAATATTATTATTTGGATGGAAAGTATAAAAGAACTTGCTCACGCTCTGGCAAATTCATTTTTGGAGAACCAAATGTATCGGTAAGAATGTAAGATTATCTTGGGTAAATGTATATATATTATACAAAAATCTGTTATGGTAAACCAAGTGCTATATGAGTAAATATATAAGATGATTCGTCACCTTTAATAAAATTTCTTTATTTGACAGAAATTCGTTGTGATAAACCGATGGAAATTGACAATGGTGATTTCTCGCCAGTCAGAGACGATTACGCTGTGACAGATTCTGTTACATACGAGTGCAAAGTGAATTATAGACTTTCAACAAAGAGCGGAAAGAGAACATGTGTGCAAAAAACTACAAAAACAGCGGAATTTGAAACGGAACCTTCGTGCATAAGTAAGCATTTACGGATTTAATTTCCAATTTAAATATGTTTTACTTCTACACTAGTCTATCTAAATACAAAGTTAATTACAAATTGTAAATCAAATGCTCAAAACAGGATGCACGACTAAGAACAACTGCCACTAGGTTAAAAAAAAAAGACAAAAATGATATTACAATAATAATTTTCAATCAGGAATTGAATGCGACAAGCCAAAGGAAATTAAATACGGATCTTTCGGAAAGAAAAAGAATTATTACGTTGGAACAACGGTAGAGTACACTTGTGATGATGGTTTCTACCTGAAAGGAGAAAGTGAAATCGAATGCTTATTGAATAAGGATAAACTGACTGCTGACTTTGAAAAAGAGCCAGAATGCCGGCGTAAGTAATAAACTGTAGTTATCGCCTAGGATTAGAATGCAACTGATGTTAGAGTTGAAGATGCCGATATGCGATATGACCCTATCTGCACCCTGTTATCGTTTATCCAAAAACACTATAAAAAATCTTCAAACAGTGCGAAAAAATAGAAAACAAAAAAATCGAGACCTGGGCACAATGAACATTTGCTTTAATTTTTATCATAATTTTATTTTTAGTAATATTTAAATTACCTGAAATGTATATTCTGGGATAACATATTTAAGTTGTTCATTTTGAGTAAAAATTTCACCTTTATTAGGTAAAAAAATCAAATTATCTGCCTACTTCCCGAATCGCTTATTCAAATATTTTTACCTAAATAGTCCAATATCATGTGGACATCATATAGCATTTCATATTTTGTTAAAAATATTTTCCTCGAACTTTGAACTTTCAACAGATGGTATCAATATCTGCCTTCATTAACACTCCATTATGTATTCTAATAGCTATTCTGTGCGATAAGCCAATGGCGCCAGCTAAAGGAAGTTTCAGCCCGGAAAAGTCGACTTACAGACTGGAAGAGTCGATAAAGTTTATGTGCATGAAAAACTATTATTTGGATGGACCCACCCGCGCTACTGCGTTGAGGATACCAGAACAAAAGGAAAGTTCACAAAATTCCCGAAATGCATTGGTAAGATGAATTAGAAGAAAGATTACGCGAAAATAACGGTGACCGTGGATTTGCACCCACGTACATTTGAACCCATACATTTGCACCGGTATATCCGTAAGTTCAATCTATATGCGAGTGATAAAATCCAAGGGTTAGAGTTAGTATGGGTTCAAATATCCGTAAAAAAAAAATTCCATAGGTGCAATAGTATGCAGGTGCAATTGTCATGGGTTCAAATTACGGGTGCAAATTCAATAGAACCGAATTAACTTGTGCTCTAGTCCAACGAGCTTGATTGGGTTAAGAATAGGGCGCCGATGTATTTATACTTAAATACGGTACAAATATTTATTAGAAAAGAGTCATATTTAGTTAATATATTGATTTGTTGGCGTAAAATGGATTCAGGTGAACAATCACCATCTTATCAGGTAAATGATTATTATTATTAACTACCGACAAAATGAATGAAATACTGTCAGGTAGTCATTTTAATTTGCAAATCAGTTTTAAAAAACTTTAACCATTTTCAGAGGTTCGTTGCGATAAACCAATGGTTCCAAATAAAGGCTCAATTGATCCATCCGAAGACGATTACCCCGTCGGCGCTGATATCACATATTCATGTGACACAAACTACAAACTTATGCCCGAAGACGGTGGCCGTACTTGCACACTTCTTTCAGATATGAAATCAGCAAGCTTTGGCCCTGGAGCAATATGTGAACGTAAGTAACCATTCAGAATGACTTGTTGCAAATATATTGCAATTATAATTCTAGTAAATCCATAGCAGCCAACGTGGGAGCTTGTTATATGGTATATACTCTATTATAAGGATTTCATTTAACGTACAAGCAGTACGTTTCACACTTCAACATAGTTTGAGTTAGGATTCGTTGAATCAAATTCTATGCAGAGAATATTAAAATAATTCTACTGTAACCACAAAAAAATGAATCATTTGTACCACTATAAATATCATTAAATATCTGTATCTTCTATTCTACAGGAATTGAATGCGATGATCCAATGAATATCGAAAACGGCGACTTCGACCCGTCACCTAAAGGACCATTCACAGTCGGATACGTTGTTAATTACAAATGCAAAAGAGGTTACAAATTCTCGACTAAATTTACAGATTCAACATGTACACTTAACAAAGATAAACGGAGTGCGGATTTCAGCAAACGACCTACTTGCGAAAGTAAGAGCTTTGTCAAAGTAGCAAAATTATTGTCTCTTATATAATTCATATCGTTTTGACAACAATATAAATCGAATTACAAAGAACAATTGTTTATAAAGCTCATTGAAAAATGTACATTTCAGGAGTATACTGTGATAACCCCGGAATACCAGACAATGGTGATATCAGTAAGAATAAAAAACAATACGTTGTTGATGAAACTGTCACATGGAGCTGTAAACCATGCTACGAACTTGTTGGAACCGTGACAGCAACTTGTCAACAAAACGGTGAATTCGACAAATCAAAACCAACATGCGTTTGTAAGTATTAGTTCATTCACTATAGTGAGCACTGAGAAGAGTGTAATTGATTTTATGTTGAATGCAGTTGATAGGTTCGATAAATGAACAGCTTGAACAAAATAAATTATGCTATGACCCAAACTTATTATTCATTGTTCAATCTACAGTGAGAACGTGTTCCAAAAAAGGAATTTACGTACCGCTAT